CCTTTTTTACAAATTGAAGGTTTGTGGCAGCCTTGCATTGAGCAAGTTTGTTGGCGCCGTTTTTCTAACCTCATGTGCTCACGTTCTGGCTCTCTGTGACATTTTGGTAATTCTCACTACATTCAAACTTTATCATTATTACTATATCTGTTATGAGGATCTGTCATCAGTGATCTTTGATGTTACTGTTGTCATTGTTTTGGGACACCATGAACTGCAGCCATGTAAGATGGCAAACTTGATTCATAAATATGTGTGTCCTGACTGCTCCACTGACTGGCTGGTCCCCCATCTCTCTCCCTTTCTTCATACCTCCCTATTTCCTGAGACACAAAAATGTTAACGAATATTATATAAACTTAATTGAAAAAAGCAGCAACAGGGTTTGAGAGGATTGACTCCAATTTGAAAGAAGTTCTACTGTGACTAAACTGCTATCAAAGAGCATTAGATGCTGCGGAGATATCTTTCCTGAAAGGAGGAGTCAACTGATGTGGCAGACTTCATTGTTGTCTTACGGTAAGAAATTGCCACAGCCACCCCAGCCTTCAGCAACCACCACCCTGATCAGTCAGCAGCCATCAACATCGAGGCAAGATCCTCTACCAGCAAAAAGATTACTATTTATTGAAGGCTCAGATGATGGTTAGCATTTGTTAGCAATAAAGTATTTCTAATTAAGGTGTGAACATTGCTTTTTTGTACATAATACGATTGCACACTTAATGAACTACAGTATAGGATAAAAATATATACACTAGGAAACCAAAAAACTCATATGGCTTGCTTTATTACTATATTCACTTTATTGTTGTGATTTAGAATAGAACCTGGAATATCTCCAAGCCATGCTTGTAGTTGGTTCTTATCAAATGGAAATAGAAGGTTTGAATTCAAATACTACAGCTGTTTCATGGAATTCTTTCTTCACACTAATCAGAACCTAGCTGTGTAAGATACTTTCTGGTATCATGTTAGCCTCATAAAGTCTTAATTTTTTCAAGCCATAAAGCTCTCCGTTGTTATATTCATTATCTATGCTTTGTAACATTTAGATTTTGTGATGATTCGCTATGGTTTACACAACATTATTCCCTACCCCTAAAACATACATTTTGTTGTTCAGTCATTTTTAGTCATTTTCTACTCTTTGTGACCCGATTTGGGGTTTTCTTGGCAGAAATACTAGTAGTTTGCCATTTCCTTTTCCAGCTCATTTTACAAATGAGGAAACTGAGGCAAAAGGGTTTAGTGGCTTGCCCAGGGTCACACAGCTAGTAAGTGTCTGAGGACGGATGTGAACTTAGGTCTTTCTGACTCCAGGCCACTCTACTCTATCCACTGCAGTGCCACCTAGCTGCTTTAAATATACTCAGTCATGAAATATATACAATATTACATAAGTAACTTATGATCCATTCATGTATTAGATTAATGTTTTTATATTATTCTTTCTCTGTCTTTTGAATTTTGGTTTATTCCAGCAGTTTCTCTTTAGTTATGAGTTCATAGAGAGCAAGAATCAGTTCTTTGTAGTTTTATTTATTATTACAGAGAATTGTGTATTTATTAATGCTTTTAATTGTAATAGTGATCATATTGTCTATATAGTAATTTGGTGTGTTACTATTTAAGTTTTGTCAGATGGTAACCCATTGACTAGATGGAATTAATTTCATTTCCAAGAGTTTCTCTTGGCCATAGTTTAACTTGTGCATATTATACTGTATGGGAATCTGGCTCATTATCAATCAATCTTTAAACACTCCTCCCCTCATATACACACACTCACAATATTTTATTAATTAAAGAACAAGGTGTTTTAAAGTCAGATCCTTTGACATTGAGCAAAACGTGTTACCAAGTAACTGGACCACAGAAAGCAGGCAGAGCTGCAGAGCTGTTGTTCTAATATTAAAATACTTTGTGCCTCAAGCCCAGAAACTTAAAAGACAACTCAGAAAGTCAACAGAATGTAATGATACAATGCTATCACATATTCCAGAAACTTTCAGTGTTTTAATGTGGGTTTTCATTTTTTTATATTGTATTGTCATTTGTTTTCCAAAAGATTTTTATGGATTTTTTATTTATGAAATTTTTCATATATTTTTTTTTCATGCGAGCACCCCGGTGTCTCATTCTCCATGCCACGCCATCCTGCTGTTGTATGACAGGAAGGACAAAAAACTGGCCGCTGTAGATCCTAACCTTCCTCTAAAGTGAGACCCCAAAGGTGCTGAGAGCAGGAGAGATAGGAGGTAGTGAGGGAGGTGTGCACTGGGAATAACCAGAAAAGGCAAGGAGAGTGTGAGGCCTAGTGCAGGCAGCCTGCAGGGGGTCCTTCACTGTGTGGGTCTTGGCCGTGTCAATGATGTGAAGAAGCAGATGACTAGAATAGAGAGAGGGAGAGACAGAGACAGAGAGAGACAGAGAAGAGAAGGCTGAGAAAACAGAGAAAGGCTAGAGGGAGAAGGCCAGCTTGGGGTTGGGAAGAAAGAACAGGAGGCTGGGATAGATACGGATTTAGAGAATGAAGTAGAGAAAGGTGGGGAAGAATCCCAATACCAAGAGGTGAACTGTATTCATTGTTCTGGCATCATCCTGGCCCCTGTAAATGCAGTTAAGTTGTAGGTACTATCGTTTTTCAAAGGTGTTTTCTGCAGTGGGGGCAGAGTGATCATTTTAGGTAAAATAAAGAGCTAGTGTGTTCAGTGAGTTAACAGGATATCATTGAAAGAGTACTGGTCTGGAAGTCTGGGTTTTCAGCTCAGCCCATTCACATAATAGAATGGTCCTGAGCTTCAGTTTCCTTATGTACAAAAAAGGACAACAATACTTGAACTGTCCACTTCTCAGGATCACAATAAGAAAAGCATTTTGTGGACCTTGAACTGGTCGTCTCTCTATGCATCATTTCCCTCATCTACAAAATGACAGCATTAGACTGAGGCTGATCTCTGAGATGCTTTCCAATTCATAATTGGAGTGACCTTAAAATGCTTTGTAAGTCAGAGTAATTATTACTGAAATTTTGAATGCTGTGGATAAGGTCGCTTACCTTGGCAGTATGCTTTCCAGAAATGTACACATTGATAATAAGGTTGCCACATGCATTGCCAGAGCTAGCTCAGTGTTTGGGAGGCTCTGAAGGAAAGTGTGGGGGAGAAGAGGTATCAGACTGTCAAACTGAAGGTCTGCAGAGCCGTTGTGCTGACTTCATTGTTGAACGCCTGTGAAACCTGGACAATCTACCAGCGCCTTGCCAGGAAACTAAATCGTTTCCGTTTGAATTGTCTTAGGAAGATTCTGAAGATCACCTGGCAAGATCAGGTACTGGACACCGAGGTCCTTTCTTGAGCTAAACCACCAAGCATTCAAAATCTGTTGCAGAGAGCACAACTCTGGTGGGCTGGCCACGCTGTTCAAATGCCAAATGTCTGTTTGCCTAAAGGACTATTTTACAGAGAACTCCCACAGGGCAGCTGCTCACATGGAGGTCAGAAGAAGCCATACAAGGACACTCTCGAGGTCTCTCTGAAGAACTTTGGAATCAATTGGGAGACACGGGAGAGCCTGGCACAGGACCACCCAGCATGGTGTGTGCCTCCATCAAAGAAGGTGCTGTGCTCCATGAGCAAAGCAGAACTCTAACAACTCAAAAAAAATGAGATGTGCACATTTAAGAGCCATCTCCATTCCAATTGTTTCTGTAGACTGTGCCCGACTGCAGTAGAGCCTTCTCAGCTCATATTGGTCGGAGCAGCCACAGTCAGACACGCTGTAGATTGGCCCCAAAATTGAGATGTCCTTTTGGTCTTCTTTGAGCATGAAGAACCATCAATTATTACTAATAATAACATCACTAATTATCAGTAAGGGAGGCCAGACATGGATTTTTCTATATGTCACTCCTTAGTAAAATTTGGCACATAACTGCTTTGAAATCTATTAATTGAGTATCTTGTTTTGAAATCTATGTTAATTCACATCCTGAGCCTTAATTTTCCTTTTTATTGATGACTTTTTAAATCACCAAACAGCATATCCACTTTTATCAGAAACATAATGTGTTGCAAAGAACATTAAATGAAGCACTTTTAAAAGACATTTCTTTGGAATTATCTTCAACAATTTTATCTTTAGTAATTTCTCTCTCCCCATCTCCCCTACCCCTTGGCCGTGTTTCTGATGTACCAGTAGGCATCTTTTTCTTGTATACTAATATGGTAGAAATGAGTGTCGGAAAAAACAGATTGTGATCTAGATACCCAGGGATCTGGGATACAAACTACTCATGTTTTTCAGGAAGAGCGCACCTGTTTTGTCTTGTTTTTTAATTGCTTCTAATAAGAATCTGCAGGAGTTGTTTATTTGTTGTTGTTTAGTCATTTTTCAGTCACGTCCAAATCTTCATGACCCCATTTGGAGTTTTCTTGGCAAAGATACTGCAGTGGTTTGCCATTTCCTTTTCCAGCTCATTTTACAGCTGAGGAAATTAAGGCAAACAAGGTTAAGTGACTTGCCTAAGGTCACACAGCTACTGTGGCCAAATTTGAACTCGAATCTTCTTGACACCAGGTCTGATTCTCTATCCAATGTGCCATCTAGCTGCCGCTAAAATTTTTTTTTAATTTTTAAAAAAATTGCTTCTAATAAGAATCTGCAAACTCAGTGTAACTTTTTTGGTGTAGCAGGATGACTAACTTCTTTTTTTCCTTTTCCTTGTCCACAAAAGTACAGTAGGGCATTTTAATGTCATTTTAAGTTATTTCTATCAGTGAAATATGAAATATCACTTATTAGATGAATTATTAAGTCCATGTTAATGGTTGATCTTCCTTTAATGGAAATTGTTCTGCATTATAATACTGTAATCATAGAACTGTTAGAAAAATAAGACTTTATGTATGTATACATATACATACATATCCAAGGTAAACAAATCACTGGAGACAAGGGTTTAGCAACTATTTAGAACTTTTGTTCTTCTGTTACAGGGATTCTGGAAACATCAAAGCTGGATTAGAACATCTGGTAAGTTCTAATTTTCTCTTGAACATTTGCATTATCTTTGATATCAGCATTCTAAATGAACACTTTTGAATGAGCTTTGAATGCCTTGAATTGAGAAAATCAGCCATCCCCCAAAGGGTCAGCTCACTGTTATTACGCAAAGCCACTTACATTTTCATTTGTTTTATCATTTCAAGGGAATTTTCATTTTTTTAAATTACTTTTTTTATGTAGAGATGAAATAAAATGGACAATAGTCCTTAAATTGGTGGTTGCCTTAATTATAAACAAAAACAATTTGGTGTTGAATTTTTGACATAACCTGATCTGACACAAAGAAACTTGTTTTATAAGAAAAGCAGTCAAATATTTCCTGCATAAATATGGTATGTTTTAGTAATTTAAAGTCTTTGAAAGAAGTGCACAGCTTTGTTTTTTCTGTTGTCTTAGCCTTATGAATAATGCATTGGTTTCAACTCCATTCAGTTCTGTAATATGTAATAATCATTGAAATGCAAAATATTTTGGTTTAAGTAAACATATGCAAACCACTAGTGAAATTGAAGCAGATTTTACATTAAAAGCCATACACTGATCAAAAACAGGGGAAACTATGGTGCTGTCACCAGTCTGAAACTCATTCAGCTTGCTCTGAGTCTTTCGACAGAACATTAAGCAGTTCATCTAAACAGATCATTTTAAAGTCATAGTATGGTTTCTGGTCAAATCCAAATGTTGAATAATTAATGGCACAGATTCTTTTGTAAATACAGTCTAAGTACTTTTCTTTTTTAATACAAGACTTCATTCGTATATCATGCGGTAGCTTTGTTAACTATTAATGTTTAATACTTTGATGCTACAAAACAAGCAATAGCAAAATACAGTGTCATCAACACATGTTATTTAGAACGTGCAACTCTCTACTTGGAAAATACCGGTTACTTTAAATACAAGAGAAACGGAAGCTTCTTGGTATTAAGAATGTTTCCTTGTCATCCCAGACAGATTATCACCAAAAGGGTGTAAAGGCTAAATATTTAATTTAAAGGAATTCAAAGGTTATCAACCTGATTTTTGAGTTGGTAGTGATAACTACTGGCATCAGTACCAGCACCATGAAAAGATATTTGCTAGATACTCACTTGTACATGGTACTGTACTAGATGTTGCACAGATTGCTCTAAACTTCTAGAAGAAAATAGAACAAGAGATGCATTAGCTTAAAGATTTGTAGGGTCTTAGAATCTGGAGCTGCAGTGTAACTTACAGGCCATATAGTCCAGCATTGTTATTTTACAAATAAGGAAACTGAGGCCCAGGGAGGGAAAATTGCTTTTCCCATCATTGCATAGTTAATAAGGTAACAATGTTTAGATTTGAACCCTTTTCTTCTGATTCCAAATCCAGAGTTTTTCTATAGACATATGAGGGACATGGGAGGGTATGTCACATCAGTTCATTGGAAAAAACCTGGAAGGGGGAGGAGCAGTGCAGTGTGTGAATTGCAAGTTCAATTCGAGTCAGCAGGGTAATGGAGTGCATTAAGAGAGGTATAACATTTAGGACTGGGGAGGCCATTTCTATTTAAATTTGACCCTAGTGGGTAGAAGTTGGATTGGAAATGGGAGAGACTTGGAAATATAAAGACCAAATAGGAGAAATCTATTGCCATGGTCCCAGGAAGTTGGGATAGAAGCCTAAACCAGGGAGGTTGTGTGATGGAGAGGAGGTGCTCAATGGAAAAGATGTTCTGAATGTAGAAATGACCAAATTTGGCAACTAATTAGATATCTGGGGTGAATGAGAATGAATAATCAGGATGACACCAAGGATATGAAACAAGGTAACTAAAAAGATAGTGACGCCCTTGACGGTAATAGGGAAGTTCAGAAATAATGTAGGTTTGGCAGAAAAAGGCAATGAGTTCTGCTTTGGACATGTTGAGTTGGAAATGCTTACATAGGATCCAGCTAGTAAGACAAATCCGATTGGGAATTCATGAGAAAATGCTATCTGGTAATGGCTAAGAATGGTGAATCAGTAGAATGCATTAGGTACACAAAACACAGTAGTAAATGATCATAGTAATCTAGTGTTTGATAAACCCAAATACCCCAGCTTTGACCTTATCTTGGTATATGGTATGAGATGTTGGTCTATACTAGACCTGCACAACTCGGAAGTAGGTAGGAGCCAACATTAAAATAGGCTAAACTTCTTTGGGCTGCAGGTAGGTTTTGAGCAGCTCACTTTCCAAGTAAAAGTGTAATTAATGATTAAACTATTTTGCAAATAAACCATCTTTTTAAAAAAAAAAGGAAATTTCAATTAATATCAATTAATTACACTTATTAAGATTTTTATTTATCATGAAATTACATTAATGTTTAAAAAGTTACTTTGCTAAGTGGTACAAGTTTTAATACATTTTTCAGGTTTTCTTACTGTTTACATTTAGTTAATGGGACATATTACACTTCTTGTCAGCAATCAGTTTATCATATTCTGGAATCATGTTTGAAATTGATTTCTTTAGAAATCTGAAAACTAACCTTAGTAGCCACCTCATTTTCCAAGTTTACTTTCTTGAAAAACCATTGTTCCCCACTGAGATTTTTCAGCAACTTGGATGCTTTGTTTTTTATTGGTGTCCAATTTGCTTAAGTCAGGATGTTTTGATTTGAAATGGTGATGAAGATTGTATTACTTCAGAACGGCTATGACGTCTTGGCAAACAAGGCATAATATTTTGTCTGTTGTGAAAGTAAATAATGTCCACTCTGGATTAAACACTATGTTCTGATTCAATCTTCCATTTCTTTTTATCACCCATTTTACAAAATCACCCCAAAAACTTTAATGTTAGAACCAAAAAATCTCCACAGCAACTGCTCACATACAAAGAAATACTGAACTGAATGTTTGATCTTGGAGAGAGGGCCAGACACTCATGTAACTTGGAGGATGGCCACGCAGCAAGGGAGAGGAAGAAGCCCTTGTGTTGTTGGCCTCTCGTCTCTTAACGGGCATCGGCTGTATTAGCACGTGGCTGCATTCACTTTGTCGCTGTTCAGCACTAGGAACGACTGAAAACACAGCAAAAAGATACGACTCTCGCTTCTCTCAGACTAGAGACAGACTGTGGATGGTTAGCTGCCGCGGGTCACATGACAAACAGGAGAGAGGTGCAGTAGCTACCCACCCACCAAATTACATGATGGGCCCAATAGTGACTAGTGGAAGGCCCGTTAAGTGGGGCACAGACAAAGCGCTCGTTACATCTTTGTTTTCTTTTACATCCTCTACATTTTTTATGGGCCACCTGAAATCCTTTGGCAGGCTGCACACAGCCCATGGGCCATATGTTGTACAGGCCCGGTCCGAACCTCGGTTTGGCCATACTGTTTTCTAATTTCCCCAGCAGTTTTTGTCAAATAGTGAGTTCTTGTCCCAAAAGCTAGTGTGTTTGGGTTTATCAAACACTAGAATACTATGTGTCTTGCGTACCTAATCTGTTCCCCTGATCCACTGCTCTGTTTCTTAGCCAATACCATGTAGTTTTGATGGTTACTGCTTTATAATATAGTTTGTGATCCGGTTCAGCTAGTCCATCTTCCTTCACATTTTTTTTTCACTAGCTCCCTTGGTATTATTGACTTTTTGTTCTTTCAGATAAGTTTTATTATTTTTTCTAGGTATATTAAATAATTTTTTGGTAGGTTGATGGGTATGGCACTGAATAAGTAAATTACTTTAGGTAGAGTTGTTGCTTTTGTTATATCGTCTCAGCCTATCCATGAACAATTGATTTTTTCTAATTATTTCACTCTGACTTTATTTGTGTGAAAAGTATTTTGTAATCGTCTTCATTTCTCTTGTGCTAGGCATTGCTGGTTGTATATAGAAATGCTGATGATTTATATGGGTTTATTTTATATCCTGCACCTTTGCTAAAGTTGTTAATTATTTCAGTTGGTTTTTTAGTTGATTCACTAGGGTTCTTATGTATACCATCAGATTTTCTACAAAGAGCATTAGTTTTGTTTCCTCATTGCATATTCTAATTCCTTTAATTTCTTTTTCTTCTCATATAACTATAGCCAACATTTCTAGTACAATATTGAATGATAATGGTGACAATGGATGTCCTTGCTTCACCCTTTATCTTATTGGGAAGGCTTCTAGCTTATTTCCATTACAGATAATGCTTGCTGATGGCTTTAGATAGATACAATTTATCATTTTAAGCAAAGTTCCAATAATTCCTATACTCTCTATTGTTTTTAATAGAAATTGGTACTGCATTTTGTCAAAAGCTTTTTTTTTTTTTTTTTTGCATCTATTGGGATGATCATATGATTTCTGTGGGTTTTGTTATTGGTATGGTCAGTTATGCTGATCGTTTTCTTGATGTTGAACCAGCCCTGCATTTCTGGTATTAGTCTCATCTGATCATAGTATATGATCCTTATGGTCCGTTGCAGTAATCTCCTTGGTAGTGTTATATTTCAAATTTTTACATCAGTATTCATTAGGGAAATTGGTCTGTAGTTTTCTTTCTCTGTTTTAGCTCTTCCTGGTTTAGGTATCAGCACTATATTTATGTCAAAAAAGGAATTTGATAAGACTGCTTTGCCTATTTTTCCAAATAGTTTATTATAGTATTGGAATGAATTGTTCTTTAAATGTTTGAGAGAATTCATGTGTGAATCCATCTGACCCTGGGAATCTTTTTCTTAGGGAGTTCATTGATGGCTTGTTCAATTTATTTTTCTAAGATGGAGGGTTATTTAAATAATCTATTTCCTCTTCTGTTAATCTAAATGATTTGTATTTTTTAAAATATTCATCTAGTTTGCTTAGATTGACAGATTTTTTGGCATATAATTGAGCAAAAAAAAGATGCTAATCATTACTTTATTTTTCTCTTCATTGGTGATGAATTCACCCTTTTCATTTTTGATACTGGTAATTTGGTTTTCATCTTTCTTTTTTTAAATCAAATTAACCAATGGTTT